GGGGGGGTGTCCGTGCCGTGAAACCAGCAGAACAATAAATGTTTTCATGGAGTCAGCTGACCCACCTCCTGTCACGTCAAGAATTCTGAAATCTAGAACAAGAGAGACAATTCGCTCCCATATGGGCGGATATCTCAGCCAAGCAGGTTTGCATTCCGTCTGTCTCATCCGTCCCCGGCATATGGTCGCTTTTGCTAATTACTATTTTTGCTTCATCAAATGAAGAATTTCCGCATCAGTGAAGAGAACCTGTCCTCATTCAGTGAGACGTGACAGTTACAAGCATGCTCACGCCGTACAGATCTGTTTTACCTGCCAGCAGATTCTTAATCCTGTTGGGCCGCTATCGTAAGTCAAGCTCGCCATACTGCCTAGCTGGGTGACCCCATTGATAATTACTGCAGCTTTGCAGCTTCCTGTGTCACCTGGCTGCTCAATAGACGGTGAAAGAACATCATCAAGCTGACAGGTCCTCAATGTAGTTTTCTATTCCTCTACGCTGTCTAAGCACCTTCACCAGCAACCCAGAGCCTTTGACTTGACTGTGAGAGAATTTTAACCTGATTCATTCACAGAGCTGACACTTCTACCCCAGGGATGGGGGATGGGGCATGGGGTGATATAAACCTCACTCTCACTCTCAGGTGGGCTGTGTGGGATCTCAGGTGGGCTCTGCAAGGGACATAACTAGAAATCACAGGGCCTCCATACCAAATTTTACTACGGGGCCCTGTGATTTCTTGTTACGCCCCTGCCCCCCACCCCCTCCTCATTTCCATTACATAGAAGGGCGTTGCTCTGCAGGTCACAGAAGATATCTGATAACATTGACTGAGATTTCAGTTCAGTGCACAGGAAATTACAAGCACACAGGATTCCTGGCAGGATCAACAGGTATTTTTCTGCACTTGAAGAAAATATACTGCAAAAAGAAAACAAATGCGGTCACCTCATCTAAAGAATGATAAGCTTAAATATGTTACATTTTTTACATCCTTTTAAAGCCAATTAACACCTATGAAATGGGGGAATGCATGCTGTACCACAACCCGTGGCAATTCACATTACATGCATTGATGCATTGCCGTGGCAATCATTTTTAGTACCACCCTGACACAATAAGGTGTGTGCATTGCGTGGAAATGCACCGTAGTCCATTGCAGCAACAATTGCGTAATGCATGTGGGAAAGCATGCTGTACTACAACTTGTTTTAATTCACATGGCATGCATTGATGCATTGCAGTAGCAATCATTTTTAGTAGCACCCTGATGCACCTAGGTGTGTGTTGCAATGCACTGAATGGCATGGCATGGGAAGCCACCTGAGTGCATTGCAGCAGCAATTGCAAAATGCATACGGGAATGCATTGCAGCAACAGTTGCGAAATGCATGCGGCAATGCATGCTGCACCACAACTCGTAGCACTTCACATTACATGCATTGATCCTTTGTAGCGGCAATCATTTTTAGTGGCACCCTGACACAATAAGGTGTGTGTCGCAATGCACTGCTTTGCATGG